ACGTTTTGCATGCTTTTGACTATTATTTCGTTTCTCACCATTTGTGTAAGTAGCACAATGCGTGGTACCCTGGGCGCTTCCTCCTGTTGCTTCAATCCTTCCAATTGTACCTGCGTGATATGGTGCAACGCTACATGGCCTAGAGCAAGACACGACAGACGTCGGCATGTCCTCGAGAAATTAATGATGCTCCCAACGATCCATATAATGTGCGTTAGATCGCGGTTGCATTCAAGAGCTTCATACCTCCTGCAGGCCCCATAGCGACATCCGCGCTCTAGCATTCGGTAATTGGCTCACGACAAAGGAGGAGCAGAAAAGTAATGGTGACTAAAAAAAAATGCCATGCAACTCGTTATCTAACACTCGAAATAAAAGTGATCGTCCGCCCCTCAATTGTGTAGTCCGTGAATACGTCCCTTGCGAAGGAGTCGGGGTGCTACCAAATATTCACCGGTACATCTTGGACCCACAAAACCAAACCAACAAATACTTGCAACGCACTGCGCTGCACACCCCACATGCGAGGATGTGTTAGTCATGGCTGGGTATGAAGTACCCACCTTCAGTACACCAGGGACTCCAAGGCACTCGCCGTGCAAAATCTTCTACAGTTCGCAATTTGGAATCAGGTCATACGACTGCTCGCTGCCGAACATTTCAAGCGCTGTCAGATAGAAATAGAGCTTCTTACCTGTCTCGTGGTACGCCGCGGGTGACAGGTCACTTCGCATTCCAAATATCCGCGGTCAAAGACCTTTTTCAAACCACGAGATTATGAGAGAGAAACTTCCATTACGCCATGCCCTGTGGCTAATACTTAGTAGCGAGTGCATGTCTAAAGTTCCAGCGTGTCCACTGGATGTCCACCAAATGTGTTGAGTGACTTCAATTCACGTGAGCACATCGCGTCCTTTGTGTATGTCTGTTTGTACGCGACGCGACGCCGACATGATAAGTACATCACACTTCCTTCGCCAGCCCAACAGCTAACAACCCGCAACCGAAGGCTATTTTCACATCTGCTATTCCTCCGCCATCCTTGCAAGTCAATTGCTATTCTCATATCCTAATTACTGGCAATGCCTCATTTCTCTAGCGTGCACGTTGCCCCGGAATTTCCAGAGGACGTGATACACCATTCATACACAGAGCTCTCTCTATCTGAAGAGCCAGACAATTTGATCTCTCCGCCACGCTCTCCTAGTAGACTCGACTTCTTTCATGAAGAAGAAGACATTCTCAATTACTCTGAATCAGACGTAGACGCAGAACCACCGATTTCAAGGGTAAAGTGGGCACGCGGCTTCTTTCGTAGTGGCCCGGCACGCGCGAAGTTTATGGAGGACGACGATGATGATGCGCCTTTCGTTGCTCTGCCAATCCTTTACGCGAATGAACACAGCACAAATTCCCAGACAAGCTTAGAAAACGAGACCCCATCCGCCCCACCACCACTTCGGGTAGTCACCATAGAGCCTTTTGCACCAGAGCCTGTGCGCCATGCTACGCTTTCACAAGAGCCAAAGGTGCAGATTCCTACACCTGTGTCACGTATCCACACGCAGCGGCTGAACTATCCTCACCACGGATTTTCACGGAGTGCCTTTTTGCATCGAAAGTCTTTCTGGACAGCACGCCATGACGAATGGCTGGAATGGCAGGCCAAAGAAGTGAAACGGCGGGCAGACCACGGTATATGCGCACAAGACCCTCGAGGCGCGTATACCGGCATCATGCTTTCAGGCGCTCAGGAAGTCTCAGGGCCGCCATCGCAATTCCGCGTACCTCCATCCGGCTTGGAGCGTGACTTTGAGGGGTATGCATCGAGAGACTTTGCCCAGGACTTGAACTCGTCGATCTACCCTCGTGTGGGCGACATCTCCGCGCTCCGTGATCCATACTCTGCCAATGTCGACCGGTGCTTCTTCAAGTTTCCGCTGTGGACCATTCACAAGACGCTCTACGTGTTCGACATGCATCAAAGGGCTGTCCCTATTTCCGAACATATGCAAGGTTCTGCATCTTCAGAGAGCCTGCAGTCTTCGACTGGTTCAACGACATGCGGTGATGAGGATATGACCCTTGTTGGTGATGATGAAACACTTTTCGAGAAGAAAACACTGGAAACCGGGGCTCATCATGGATCTCCACCACCTGGAACTCCAAAAGGTTCCCCGCCGTGTGCATGGGAGACTAACCGCGCTTGGGAGATGAGCTGGTATGCTCGCTGGGAGCTACTCATTGGTCTTGTACAGCGTGACCAAGCCCTCCGCCAGGCTGCACCGCTTTCACCGTTGATAACTCCCTCCGGATCCATAGATGATGAGGTTCCACCGCCAGAAGAACTCCTGAAACCACTCACCCCAGAAGTTCCCACACCAATTTTCCACTTCGCTGGCGAAGACGGAGAGGGGGACAGCGGAGACGAAGAAGACGACTATGGCACCCTGGTCACAAACCCGATCTACAACAAATCGTTCGAGGAAGGATATCATCGTGCGGTACACTTTTTCACCAAAGATCGGCAGTTGAAGAGAGGGCGTCGGTTGCGAACAGTGTCTGGGTAGAAAGGAGGATTAGTCGTCAGCGTCGAAGTCCACGCGTATGTAAATATTTCACTTATATACAGCTCCCTAGTTTTGTCGTTTGTGAGCTATGCTATATCCCGATATCGTGATAGGTCCCCAACGTGAATGGAAATTTTATGGAAAAGGCGTCTCTGATCGCGTTGAAGCTTCAATAGCTAACTTTTTTGGTTTTACATGATACGCTAGCACCACTTGGAGGTACACTCATGGCGTAGTCATCTCTTGTCAGCTCCCGATTTTAACCACCCGAACTTGCTGAACTTCGGAAGTGTAGGACAGATTTTATCATATCGCATCTAACACAAAAACGAGAACACACGAATAACAAAGATATATCAAAATGCGGGTATACGCGACATTCTTATCCGCCCCTCGTTACAATTTCCAGTCCACCTTCTTCTGAGTACTTTGACCACCCCGACCTACGAAGCCCCAACCAATCTGGTTAGCTACCTTGATCGCGACGCCAAGGTCTGACGCGAATCTGCCAACGCGTCGTCAGATCAATTAACTTATCTCACGATGAATATACACTCACGCCCAAACAGTTGCTGGGTTCTTTTGGAACTGTCGTCCAACAAGGACAACATCAGCTTGACCTTTGTCAAGCACTTCTTGGGCGATCTTGCCATCGGTGATTGCGCCGACAGACCCAACGACAAGCTTGTCCCCAACAGCTTGCTTGACAGCTTGTGCGAACGGTGCTTGGTATGCCGGACCAGATTTCGTGATGGCTTTCGGGTGACTACCACCGCTGGAGACATCGAGGAAGTCAACGCCATGCTCAGCAAGAATACCAGCGAGTTTGACGGTATCTTCGACACGCCAGGACGGTTCATTTGGAAGGGCTTCTTCGAGCCATTCGGTCGCAGAAACCCTACAAGGCATCAGATCGAGCAAGAACACATCATGGACTGAAACCTACCTCAGGAAGAGTGGCATGTCTTCAGGGATGACTTCACGGATAGCATCTACGACCTCGAGAGTTAGACGGATGCGGTTCTCGAAGCTCCCGCCGTATTCATCCGTGCGCTTGTTGCTGACAGGACTCAAGAAAGAGAAAAGCAGATAACCATGTGCGTTGTGAATCTCAATGATGTCAATGCCAGCTTTCAATGCTCTCTTCGTAGATTCCACAAATGCGACGACGACGGCCTGAATCTGCGCCTTCGATAGCTCCTTAGGCACCGGGAAGGTGTCATTGTATGGAACCGTGGAAGGCGACCATACATTTTCTGGCCATCCACCCACGTTCTCAGTTGCTGCAAGACCACCACCACGTAACCATGGTGCAACGGTGGATGCTTTTCGGCCCGCATGGGCAAGCTGAATGGCAACCTTCTGGTTTTGTGAATGGGCAAACTCGACTATCTTGCGGAGGGGCTCGATTTGGCTGTCTTTCCAGAGGCCTGAATCTTCAGGGGTGATGCGACCCTCTGGGAGGATTGCTGTGGCTTCGATTATTGAGAGACCAGGGCCCCGTGTGAAGATGCCACCCACTGGATACCATGAGTAATACTTCCCTGATGCTTGATAATCATAGACTTACGGTGCGCCATATGCCAAGACGTGAGATGACCGTCATCTGCAGAATATTGACACAGTGGAGATAGCTGCATGAAAGTGACGTGACGCCACCATCACACTGACGATCAAGATAACAACTCACGAAGATACGGTTGTGGAATGTTGTCCCTCTAATCTTGATGGGCTGGAATAGTTTTGGTAAAGGAGTTCCATCGGGCTGGGGGTCGAATGCTGTGCCTGCCGCAGGAACCTGCGCAGGGGTAAAGTATGGGATGGCGGGTGCGGGCTTATTCGCTGGAGGTTGCATGTCGAGGGCTAATCAGACTGTGCGGAACGCTACCATATCTTCGAAGCTATATATACCAACTACCCATATTCTTATCTCAGGCTGTTGTCGCAATCCCACTGGATTATTCAGCGTATTAGTGAGATGAGGTAGGAGGGATGCTGACGTTAGCAAGAATCACTGCGGAAACGACTTTTTAGTCGTACCCTAAGTAGAGCGAGATTGTGTGGTAATCCCGATGTAAAACGTACCTTGTCCCTAACTAGACACAAACACGACTTCAAGAAATTTGAGCATGTTTGAGGTGTAACAACAGCCCTAAACAGAATCTTTCCGCATCACACCAACAGGCCCCCGGAAGCTCCCCCATATGTCTGTCCGCCCTGCGACCGCATTCTGGGTCCCAAATCTGCTATTTTTCGGGTGTAAAATCTGCTATTCCGGACAGACATATCACATGTCACACGGTTTGACACGTAACACCCTAGCGAGATGTGACACAATGAAGAACATATGCAGTATCTCGGCGAACAGGAGCGGTAGTTAATGATGGCCACGTCTTAAGTACACCAATTGTATGTATCCACGATGAAACACTAAACCTTCGTGATCTTGCTCCCAGAAATTTTGAGTCTAGGTAATTTTTGCTTCACTTGTGGTGCAGTCAGCGCTACCCAGTGACGAGCATTAGCATTCGACAGTTCCAATGCCCATGTGTTTGTTCCTTTGAGCGCCCTTTTCCCAATGTGATAGAGAATGCTACTTGCAGGTGCATGTGTGTGGATCTCATACTGGTAGCGGCTGGGAAGACGGGAAAATGATGGGACAGCATCAGATGACACATCCATGTCATCATCTTCATAGAGCGTCTCATCAGCATTAGAAGCACTGGTAGCAGTCTGAAACGGGTAGTAAAGTGTTAAAACAAATGACATGATGCAGAATTCATTTACTTACCGAAGTCTCCAGTGGAAGGTAAACTCAAAGTGAGAGAAAGGACAATGTGGAGATGCTCGTCGTAGATTGAATGGAACCATAACAACTGTTGGAGCCTTTCCTGTATAAGTTGAGTACCTCACCAATGTAGAACCATATGGCAGTATGCATAATCACATAGGAGCCGCATTCGAGGGGAAAGAGACTAGATATATTTTTGGTAGCGAGGTTTGGCAATTCTAAGTATTGAACTTGAACATTGAATAACAGGTGGCTTTGATAATATGACATACCTTGGGGCTGTATTACCCGAGCAATAGCACTCGAGACCTGTTTCCAGAGCAGCTCTCGTGCCGTCTTCACTGGTGCAAAACTACTATCTTGCTTCTGCAGGATAGCAAGATGCCTCCTGGTGGGTCATTTTCGTTTCCAGGTCCAAGCTATTCAACATTAGCTGAAGGACTGTGAACTTTGGATCAAGAAGCACAATGCGCTCAGAATGCACAGTGGCCTTTGACTGACAACCAATATGTGCTTTGAGCATAAGGGTGATAGAGACCATCTCATCCTTATCCAGAATAGAACTCATGGCAACAATTTTGTCCTCAACATGAATGGTATTGGGTGTCTCACAGTGTGTGAGTGAAATTTTGGGAGCTGAACTTGGTAGGGAAGAAGATGATGTGCTGGAGGCAAGCACTGCCTGTGAATCCTTCATAGCCTCCTCAAGGTCATCGCACAGTGCAGAATATGCTGTGACTTCTCGTGCAGCACTCTCAGCAGTCTGTGAGTGGCCTGCACCAGGCTATCACCATCATCTGTGTTGTCGTCCACCATGTTGTCAAAGTTGTCAAGGTCAGTACCATTGTTGTCATCTGGTGCTTCGTGTTGGCAATTGTTCAATACACGTGGGGCTCTCAGTGGAGTCAGCATGAATGGCTTGCCATTTGCCAAGACGGGCACTTGGATGCAGAGGATCTGCTTGCAAATCTGGGCAGCCTTGCGGTAGGTGACCTCAACAATCCCATTGAGTTGTTGAGCAGTAAGTTGTGAAGAGGTAGTGTGGAGATGGTCATCTGTCAGTGGTGATGGGTCATAGGTAAATGAATACCCTGCTGCTGAATCCTTTTTGCGGCCCTCTTGAAACTTCTGCATCATCAATATCTTCTGCTGTAGCATAATCGTCTGAACCATCTTGACCAGCTCAGCATATGCAAAGTTTGGGAGGAACATCTGGGTGAGACCGAAAAAATGCTTGACAAACTTGGTGCCAAGCAATCAAGGACAAAAAGGGACACTTGGGTAAAACTTGGCATAGGCCAGCACCAGAAGGACAAGAGAGTTGCAGAGTTGTATGAAAATCTGATAACTAGCTGGGGAGATGAATGATCATGTGGTTGAGCATAAGTCGGGATATATGGAAGATAGGTCCACAACATGCTGATACCATAGCTGAAGCCACATTTGTGCACATAATGCTGCAAATACACGTTCAGCTGCTGGCATGTTGACATTAAGCCAAGCTTCAAATAGAGTTCCTGTGAAGATAGTGCATGAGTCACTAAAACATACACTAAATACATGATAGACGCACCAAATATGAATAACCATACAAACAGGCCTTCAAAACCCTTTTGTATCTCCATCTTGCCATCTTTCATCTCACAGGTTGCTGCGAGTGCTTCGTACAAGTATATACGACGAGCAGCACCATCATCTTGTTTATTGACATTCTCGACATCTCGTTTCACCAGCCCAGAAGATCAGATTTCATATAGATCAACAAGTGACCTGTTCACGACATAGCCTATGCCTAAACTCACTGTGTGAGTCCCATGCTGAGACTGGTTGCAAGATGTCTTCTGTGCATGAGGGGGATCTGTCACTGGGATCAATAGACCAGTGTGCCAGAAAATGGGAGCTCAAAGGTGAACTCTGTATAGTGGATAGTTGTATTTGAGTGGTTCCTCCAATGAAACTTTGCCATCCATCAGTGCTTGTGCTGCGAGCTTGGATGCTGCACCATCAGCAGAGAAGGTGACCACTTTCAAGGACAACCTCGCAGCCATGCGTAAGAAGAGCATCTGTAGTTCATGTATCTTGTCACCGGTATCCCTCCCATCAGTTGCAAGCAGGGCGACAACAATTGTGGGAGTTTCGGGTATTGCAGGCTATTGTAACTTGTCAGTAACTGAATTTTGGGAATATGGTGTCTACTACCTTCACAATCACTGCCTGTACTTGGGTTGCCATTGCCTTTGCCTCCTTGACACAGTTGATGACAACTTCTATGTCATCTGCATCATTGACTTCACACTGGTCCATGTGCAATACAGACCCTAGTATGTGGCTACCAAAATCTTGAGAATAGCTTAATCGTGCATGGACCTTCATGCAGTCACTTCCCACAGACATGGGTCCATCATACTTGACAATGTCAAGCAGCCACTTTACATGTACAACATTCTCAAAAATGAGGTCTGGATTTTGTAATGCATCCTCGGATTTTGTGACCAGTGACCTAGTAGATATTGCATCAATATAATTCAGTTTCTAGTAAGGAAGACACTTGCCTTATGGAGCACATGCTTGGGCCTCCTATCTGTGACTGAAGGATACTATATTGTCTTGCTGAGTTCCTGCCATACCCTCACATCAATATCATGATGTTCTTGTAGTTTTCATTGTAGTGGACACCAAATTTCGAGTTCAGATTGGATGATGATCCACACTGCAGTTTCTCTTCAAAAACACTGCATATATCCACAAAGGTTTGTGACTTTGAGAGTTTACCCTCCCATGCAGCCTCGTACAGTGCCATCCTGGCCATGCTTGAGACGATTGAAGACGTCAAAGACTATGGGATCATTGAGTTTATCCTGCAGATCATGGGTTTTGGCACTGCTGAGATTGTGTGGTGTGAACTTTCCATGTGTTAATTGCTTCTCATGCTGTATGTTGAGTGGCAATTTTGCTTCCGCTTCTTTCTACTCCAAGTAATTATCAACTGCCAGCCGATATGAAGTCTATGATGGAGGCTTACCCTTCATACTGCGCGTTTGAATGACAGATCATTTATGACTGCTTGACAAGCCTTGCAAATCTTCCCTGGTTCCATTGTCTTCCCTTCATAGTGTGGTGAACAAATGTCAAAATTTGCATAATCCACTTCCCATCTTGCAAACGCTCCAAGTGTCTTGATAAAAGACTGCCTTTCATCATCAGTCCAATGCTTCTCCTTCATTGAATCATTTTTCTTGGTCAACCCTTGTGCAGAACTTATAGTTGGCATCTTCTCACTGGTCTTCTCCAATGACTTGTATGGGAACAAACAACACATTACATGCGCATGAAATTTGGGCGATATCCTACCAAGCATGCAGGTTCGAGAGCATAGTATGTACTCTTCATATTCCTGCCCAGTGACCTGCTGACACACTCTTGTCTCATCTTTCGGTGGCAGGGGTTCAGCTGGTGCTGCATCTGTGGCATTGAGGGGCTTCACCAAAGTCATCTCAGAGGTGACATCAAGCTTTTTGAATAAATTTGCAATGCTTGGTGTCTGGACATAAGTAAGTTCCAGGTCACAACAGGGAGGTTGTATCTGACTGTTGTGATGATTGTTGACTTGTAGCTGATTTTTGGTTTTGTTGGAAGAAACTTGGATCCTGGCATGACAGGGTCTGTAGTTGCTTATTTCTTGATGCTTGCTGCTGTGGTAGGTTTGTTGAAAAATCATGAAATGGAACCTTTATGTGAAGATTGATGGATTATTAGTAGTCACCTTGCATAATGTGCATGTGACACATACTGGCACTGCTAACTCGGTGATCCTGCCTGTACAGACCTTCTTCGCACCAGTTATTTGGTCACACCTCTCCTTGTGAGCTTTCCATTCCCCATCACCATATTTTGTAGAAGGATGAAGCTTGATGCGCTTGTGGCAGCCTTGACAATGTACAGCATGGGGCTCAATATTGGTGCACCATGGATCTTGCTCAAGACATTTGTGACGCTCATTTTCTGTGTGCTTTGGTGCATGATGTCCAGATGCAGCTTTTGAACACTTTTTATAATGAGCTTCATCATCAGTGCTGTAGTCTTCTTCATCTTTTTGTTTGTGCTTGTCACTAACATTAGTGATTGTAGATGCTGTGACATCATTTGGCAGGATAGTGTCTGATGTCACCGCAGTGCTTTTCGGCAAGTTGTGCTGCACTTCATCACATATGATTGGTTCTGTGATGTTGTCAACATCTCCCTTCAGTAATGTTTCTTGAACAACGCTGCAACTCGCATAAGCTTCTGATTTGCAGTCACATTTTATGACTTATGGCAACTGAATGAGAAGAGAAAGAGCTCTTTGGTGCATGCTGTCTTTTTGGCTGTCTTTGACAAGCTCTAATGATACACCTTGGATATATGCTTGCATCACCATCATTGTAAACAAGCCACATGACCATGAGTCCATCTGTTGTTCAAGCACAGGTGGGTACATAAGAACTCTTTTCCACGACCCATCATTCCAGCTGACAGGTTGACTCCCCAAGTTGCTCAGGATCACATTGACAAATTTTTCAAGTAACTTTTTATCACAAGTAAGTGGATCTAATTTAACGAAAAGACAGAAATTTGCTTACTGGTATTGCCCAGGCTTCAGAATGCAGTGCAGGGATGCTATCAAATATTCCAACCTCGTGCTCAGATAAATGGACCCAAGTCAGCACCCAATGAAATGGCCTGCCACCGCAGAGAGGGATTATCCACCGGGGATGAGAGAGCATTTCCTCTGGTGAGGCAGAAGCACACTATGACAAGGTAAATGTTTATGAAAATGTGTACAGTGCAGGAGACTGACTGCTGCTTCAATATGCTCTCTTAGGGTGCCATATACATGAGTCTCTGAACTTGGCCTCAATACGACAGCAGCAAGATAGGATGAGAGTATAGCATAGTCTGCTACTTCGTCATTTTGCTGGAGGGCTGCTCCAAAAGCATTTATTGTTGTGCCAGGTATTTTTGTTCCTCCGGAAATCAGGCAGTGTAGATCACTGTACACTAGCTCAATGTTGCAAATCCTTCGGACTTGATATTGAATGTTGTGGGGTATTGGTACATCCATGAATAGCTTGAAAAGGCTGCAAGAAGCATGGAAATGAAAGTGCAGGGCACTAGTCTGTGTTGGTCTCAATCTGTATCAATCTGTTGCTATCTGTTGGTCATTTTCCTATACTTTGCGCTTGCTCAAAGGTTTGACAACACCTGACAGGACCCATGTGGTGGCCAGCTGGCCGTCAAAAATCTGCTATCTATGGACAGACCTCAAGCTAGTCCAGTCTCAAATCTGCTATCTCTGGACAGACAGTCAGTCAATTTTTGCTCTGAAATCTGCTATTTCCTGGACAGACATATGTGGGAGCTTCTGGGGGCCTACACCAACAGAACTAACCAGAGACTCGTTTACTTCCACACACAACCACTATTCTGCCACTAAACAGGTCCGTTTATTCAATATCCTGACATCTGTTTACAGTGTACATGAAATAAGGTAAATTTTTCGAAATTTCTCTAAGTCCTCCCTATGTACTAAGCTCATGCTATGGTAGACCACAACACAATCAAGCTTGAGCTTCCCATGCAACTCAAATCTTTCAATTTCACTTTCAAGTGCAGAAGACCAGGCCCTGTGGTGAGTTACCATGCCTCAGTCAAACAACTACTAATTAATTTTATATGTAGACCATCGAAATATCATTACAAAGGCCTCTCAAGCGGCCGTGGTCACAGCATAGTACTGTGGATGACCTTGATACCAGTGAGATGGGAACTCAGAAGCCCCCAATGTTTGCCCACTGGATGGCTGACCAGACAATGGTATTTTTTTTGATGTACTTACTATTTGTTACTCAATGGACTCGAGCAGTGTTAATTGTTTCTCTCAGCAGTCGTCAAAGCAAACACTCTCGAGGTTGACGAGGTTGTCACAGAACCAAAGTCCAACTTACCCAATGTAAAAAACATCGATATTGTGAGTTGTTTTGATGCTAGTTTGTATTTGTTTGTGGTACTGAATGACACCTACATATGTTAGACATCAACTACTGTGGTAGATGAGAGTGTAACAGAAGCCAAGACGGACTCTGAGATAGACCCATCACAGGAGGTGCAGACCCCTATAGAATTCACTTGCTACTATGAAGCCCACCTTGCCAACAAAGCCCAACTTGCCAAGTAGTACTTATGAATAAATTTGTAGTAGGCTCACGTGACAACCTGATTCCCTTGTGCACGTGTTCAAACACGACGTCCCCTTACTAGAGCACACACCCATCTGTCATCATGTTTGTTCGCTGCTATTGCAAGACATCCAATTGCAAGGGTGTGCTGATCTCCTATGAGAAGAAAAGGACCCATGAAAGAGCAGACCTCCAAATCACACAATCATTGTGCAAGCTCAACACAAAAGGCTCAGTACACCAAATGTGCAAGCAGGGCCTGTTCCATGCGGATTCGCAGTCCCCCTTCATGAACCCTCTGCACCACTATCTCCCAATGTTGAATTTTGCGATCCTGTTCAAACATCCAACTGTGATGTTGAGCAAGAGATGCTTGACCACAGCATATCAATGGGTGAAGACTTGGACCTCATGGTCTACAGCAGCGACTTGCCAAACCTTGCACCAAATTTTCACAGCCCCAAGGCATTGCTTGCAGCAGTGGACCATTTCATTGAATATAGCAATTGCACAAAGGCTGGTGCACGTCCACTGACAGCTTACAGGGCCCATCACTTGCCCCCTGACCTCGAGCAGCGTGCTGCAGAGCGTCAACTCAAAGCAATGCTAGAGGAAGTTCATGATCAGCAGGAACAGGGTGACAAGGACTTTGTAGAAGAGGGACTACTTGATCTGGACGCAGAATTTGAGGAAGATCCTGAGGATGCCACACTTGAAGATGTGCAAATGACTGGTGGACACAAAAATGAAGATGACCCAGATCCGTTCCTGACTGACGATGTCTTTTCTAGCTCTCTTGACACAGGCCTCACACATGTCCCCACCGCATTTACTTACCATATATGCGCTAGTGACATGGCTCCATCTCCAGTTTCATTTGCCACGAGCTGCTTGCTTGCTCATTGCCATAGCACTAGGACTCGAAACTCCATTTATCACCCTTCAATTGTCTACTTGTGTTCTTGGTGCCGACACGCCTATATACATACTCCTTGTATTTCCAGTATGTCGTGATGTCTTTCCACCAGCTTCCTCCCGGCTTTCACATGATGAATGCACCAACTGCAACATCCTACTTTTTCTTCCCAGCCAAATGAAGTGTGGTAACAATCGCACAACAAAAACCCCAATAATCAAGTACCCATACCTTCCCCTTTCTAATCAAATCAAGTCGATGTTGAAGATACTGGGCCTTGAGGCAGTGCTCGATGGTTGGCGATCAAAAACATGATCAACAGGAACTTATACAGACATTTTCGACGGCAACATGTGTCGCAAAAAGCTCAAAGATCCCAATGGCAAACTTTTTTTCTCAAACAGTCCTGGCAACAAAACTGGACTGGATGGTGAGCTTCATATTAGTGTGAATCTCGGTGTTGACTGGCAACTATATCTTATAATAGTGTGATGACAAATTGACTAATGGCTTGCAACAGGTTCTCATATATCCGGAGTAATATTGCCCCATCTCATTCATCATGTCCAACATCATTTTCAATATGTAATCTTCCCCCAGAGTACCGGTGAGTATTTCATTGAGCATCACCCTCTGACACATTTTTACACTAATTATAATAGATATCGGACAGCAAATATCTTATGCACAAGCATCCTCCCTGGACCCAAGGAACAAAATCCTGACCAAATTCAACATTTTTTGCATCCTATTGTCAGTGATCTTCTGCACTTATGGAAACACAGTATCAAGGTCCCAACGGAGTTGTGTCCTGATGGTACGTATTACATTTCATAAACATGACACTATCTAATTATGATATCAGAGTGTCTAGTTCACATGATCCTTGTCGCAGTTGTATGTGACAAACCTGCAGCTCATAAGATTGAAGGTTTTGTGTCCCATTCGCACCACCTGTTTCTGTATGACATGTTGGATCACGACCTCCGACAAAGGCAAACCCAGTGCATTCCAACCAGGGGGTAGGTACTCAAACTACTAACTTCAATTGACAATTAAGTTTCTTCTAGCATTTCAGCCTCGCACTAACAGCAAGCAATGCAAGCTTGGTGAATGATACCATCACCTTGTCACACCAGCTGTGTGGAGGAATTTCGTCAAAGAACATGCTACCCACTACACTCAACTTGCATGCCTACCATATTTCGATCTTGTTGAACAAATTGTGATCAATCCCATGCACAATTTATTCTTGGGTGAGTGGTCATTTCACTCTCGCTATTTGATACTTTACTCATACAGCACTTCACAGGTCTTGTGAAGACCCACTTTTACAACATCTGGGTCCAGAACAAGATCCTTCAACCGAACCATGAGGTAACAAAATTTCATGAAATGATCGCTGATGTACGTGCAATCCCTCGTATTTCATGACAATATTTCCTAACTATGAAATTTAAAGTTTGTCATCCCTAGCTCATGCAGCAAACTGCCCACTGATATTGGGATGCCCTCTGGAGGGTCACTTACAGCAGACCAGTGGCTGCTTCTGTCAACTGTCTATGGGCCAATAATTGTGAGTTCAACACCTCACATGCACAGTTGCTGATCCACGCCTCAGATCCCTCAGCTTTGGAGTGTTTGTCTCCCAACTGATGCCAGCACCGAAGTCCTACACCAGCGTCTGGAAACAGACAAACAGGTACAGGCATCACATACAGCTGACAACTGCAAATCACTTGCTGCAGCAAAGAAACAAGGCACAGATGCCTTTGCCCACAAGAAAGCTCAAATTGCACAGGAGAAGCTCACTGCAGCTGAAGCAAAGAAGACCGCCAAACTCAAGGCAGCTGCAGCCAAGGAAGCTGAAAAGGTCAAGGCTGCAGCTGAAAAGAAGGCACATAATGCTCAAAAGGTATCATATATTAATCTCGGATGAGTTATGTGCTTACAAACCCACACTGCAGAAGTTGTCTGGGAAGCGCAAAGCGACATCTCAGACAGTCGATGGATTACTGGAAGGCAAAGAACACCAACCGCCCCCACCTCCCCAATTTAATCAGAATGCTGTTGATGAGCCAGAAAACCTTGATGATCTTAAGTTTTCTCTACACCCAGATGATCCAGGCAACTTCTTGAAGTTGTGCTATGCTCTTCGCATCCTCGTATGACGTGTTATCTGCAACATGGATATTAATGAAGCTGATCAATTACTTCAAGAGTACAACACCGAACTCATCAAGGTGTGTCATTTATTACTCAACTTGACCTTTGTTCTTATTGGAGCATAGTTATATGGTTCAGCCGCTATAAAACCAAACCATCACTACGCCACTCACATCACCAATTGTGTTCGGAATTTTGGGCCCCTCCACAACTTCTGGACCTTCCTTTTTGAATGACTCAACAAAGTACTGAAGTCATTTAAGACTAACAATCACATGGACAGTGAACTGGAGACAACATTTTTCCATGAATTCCAGCGAACATATCAAACAAGCCGATTGGTAAGCTTTTGAAGTCAATTTTCTGTTCACTGTAATGTCTCACTGATTATTTAACAAGACCTTCTCTCTACTATCTTATCCCAAAGATTCCCTTCCATGCGAAGCCGCCGAGATCATGCGCAAGGCATTGAGAGAGGAGTGTGGAACTGTAGCTGGACTGGCAGCTTTGTCAGAAGACTTGGATGATGCTCAAACAGACAGTATGCCTTTCTTCTCTATTCTTATATCAAGTCTGATTTCAACTAGCTGTGCAAACATTTTCCTTGAGTTCACACCGCAAAACACAAGTCATGTCTAGTGAGACATATTGCACTCTCGCACGTACACTTTGCTTTCATTTCCCATATACTCCAGTTCATTGTTGTGGAGATGAACCACTGGTTCAAAACAGCACACCACTGTGGGTACAACAAGTGCAGCAGTGAGAAATCAATCTACTACACAGTTGGGTCTTTGCCGCCTGCTGCCTCACTTGAGAACAAGCACGTTCAACCCTAAAGGGGATTGCTACTGGGGAGTGCTAATCTCTGTCTAAGCGACCCTAATCAATCCTACCGCAGGTAGGATGAGGATCCGCAAAAATGCAGAACAAGCAGAACAAGCAGAACTCAAGCAGAACCCAAGCGGAATGGAACAGAATGAAGCAGAACTCAACTGGATACAATGCGGAACATACAGATTCATCGGAACTTGCAGATCAGGTCGAAGGAAGTATATCACAATGTTAGATTGATAGTGGATATAAGTCAAAGCGGTCCTCTAGTAAGGTGAAGGGAAAGTGGGAAGGTAAAAGATGGGATTTGATCCCAAAAACACCTAAGCCCTGAGTACCACTACTTATAGGGAACATTATTTTCGAGGAACACTGAGGTACAGGTAGTAAGTTTCTCAGGAAGCGGAAGTGAAGGCAGGCAGTGCACATGGGCACAATACTCCGGAATAGGGGTCCATGCCATAAGGGCATGTGTCAGTGTGATCCAGATAACATTAGAAGCAATGGGAAGAGAGATACAGTGTACCAATGGACCTGGAAGGATGGGGACAGGACATGTGAAGGTTGTCCGACAATGCATGGGAATACCGGATAGTGCAGGCAGGTTCTGAAGGATGCATGGGAATGCGGAACCCATTGGACGATGCGCGGGAAATGTGGAACATGCAGAATACGCGGAACTGATGTGAGACAATGCGGAAAGGACGGGGTTTTATGCCTACAGTGGGGGAATCCCCCACACCACTCAATTGTGAAGCAACATTTTACAAATACAGTGGCTCAAAAAACTGTCCACATGTTTTTACATTTTTCACTATCTATGATATTGTGTGAGAATGTACAAACACATCAAGGACATGCTGGTACCATATTGGAGTACTACTTCAGGGCTTCCAATTGAGCCATATGGTGTGGGAATTGGCCAAGATATGGTGGATATATGAGGCTTACAAAATGATGACTCATGCGGACAGTTTTTTGACTCAAATATTTTACAGTGATAATCAGGTATTCTAGTACATTGTGTGACCTCCCTTGGCTTTAATTACTGCCTCTATCCTTCTAGGCATACTCTCAATCAATTTCTGGCAATATTCTGCTGTAATCCTTGCTCATTCCACTGCTACTCTCTCCCATAGCTCCTATACTACTTTAGGAGGGGTTTCATAGGCTTGAAGCTTCTTCTTGAGTGTTCCCCAGAGATGTTCAATGACATTGACATCAGGGGGCTGTGCTGGTCAGTCAAGAACATTGATATTATGTTCTTTAAACCATTGTCTGGCTCTTCTAGATGTGTGCTGGGGATCATTATCCTGTTGGGAAATGATGTCTTTTTCATCAATCCCTAATTCAGCTATGCTAGACAGCAAGTGGTCATTTAGAATGTCCACATACTGCTCAGCATCCATCCTCCCCTCAACTTCAGCAAGTATATCCACACCATTCCATCCCATACAGCCCCGTACCATTAGAGAACCTCCTCCAAATTTGACAGTCTCACTAACCTCTCTGTCTGTTAGAAAATCCCTCTTCTTTTTGCACACATATACCTTCCCATCTGACCCAATCCTATTGATTTTGGTCTCATCTGACCATATAACATGCTTCCAGTCCTCTACAGTCCAGTTTTGATGGGCCAAGCCAAAGGTAGTCTTCTCTGTCTATGTTTGATAGAGAGAAGAGGCATTTCTTCTTTGTTACTGCCTTGAGATGAACTGCCTTGAGAACATTCCTCACAGTTTGTGAAGAGAGAGTGGTGGTGATGGTGGAATTGATATAATGGGTGGCTTGGACAGCATCATTAGCCTTTCCTGTAGTGATATGTTGGATGATAGCCCTCTTATTAGCAGAGGTGGACGTCCTCCACAAGAGTTTTCCTTGTCCAGATGGCTTTCTTTGATACACTTGGCCACAGGAAACTTGCATACTTCAGTTCTAGAGAAAATTTGATGAGCAGAGAGGCCAGCATAGGACAAAGAGAGGATATTATCCCTTTGAGCAGAGGAGATGGCTTTCATGGTGATTATGACTATGACACATGAGACATTCTGGTTTATATATTTAGATATAGTTTTAAGAGTATGCCTAGAAGGATAGAGGCAGTAATTAAAGCCAAGGGAGGTTGCACAATGTACTAGAATACCTGATTATCACTGTAAAATATTTGAGTCAAAAAACTGTCCGCATGAGTCATCATTTTGTAAGCCTCATATATCCACCATATCTCAGCTGATTCCCACGCCATAGGGCTCAATTGGAAGCCCTGAAGTAGTACTCCAATATGGTACCAGCATGTCCTTGATGTGTTTGTACATTCTCATAAAATATCATAGATAGTGAAAAATGTGAAAACATGTGGACAGTTTTTTGAGCCACTGTATGTTGTTGTCAATGGGAGGCGCTACCATGCTTCAAGAACAGTAGGGTCAAACTCTTTGTCTCTTGTTCATGTCACAATCCCAGGAGCTGTCCCTGTCACTACTTATGGTGAATTGTTGGAAATATTTCAATTTGATTGTCGATCAGGGCATTCTGTTTGGTTTGGGCGCATGCACTGGTTCAAACCCTGGTGTGGCATGTGCAACAAAGTATGGAATGATTTGTAAGTAATTTTTTCATGGGTGATTTCACAATTAATACTAGTATATCCCAGCGCATCAGTGGACATATACTTATGGGAGCTCGGAGAGTACATTGATTGAGACACCCAGCTGCCAGCTCTCATCGACCTGGATTGGATCATTTGCCAACTGGCAATGACAACGGTCTCAGTTGGTGACGATAGGACCAAGGTTTGGGCAACTATTATTGTCCCAAACTAATCAGGGACACCGCCTATCTGTGTCTGCATCCATACTCACCTCCAAGGTTATTCAGGACGATACTTACTCCAACAAATCGCCGCCTATCTGGACACACTTTTTGCCATTATTTGCAGTATTGCTTGCCTTAAAGGCCACTGATCAGCTTTGTATCAAGACAGGTACCAAAAAAGATCTTCTTTTCACTACAGGTGCCCCTCATTGAGTTCCTGCAAATAGGTACAATTCTCCTCAAAAATGTCATCTGAGTCTTTCAACTGCTCATAAAACCCTTTCAACCATGGTACTCCCTCCAGGACCTTCATATCAGGATGCTCTTCTTTCCACTTGTTGCTGACCATGTTCACAAATGGTGCTGATTTCTTACCCAAAGCTGGGTTGCAGTCACTCAACTTGTCCAGTGAAACATCCCAAACTTTCTTGTGCATCTTTTTGGGGCGTGTTAGAGCACGTGTGACCATTTTTCAGCACTTGGAGGGACATTCAGTAGTGGATTCAGCCACTTTATCTGCTCCCACTGACATTGCGTCATCTTGAATGGTAGGTGGGTCCACAGCTACGTCCTTCGCACTCTCTGAGCTTGAGTCCTTCATACTTTTCAGAGTGAGAAATCAAAGGAATGCAACATACTTTAATATGCAACATGTGTGAGTGTTAATGTTGATCTTATAGCTGCAATTGGGAACTTACATCGACACTTCACCATTGAAATCCAACAACCCTGTTGGCAGTCTTTCCCACTCCCACCTCCTGTTGGCACATCTTGGAATCATCTGACAAGTCAGATTCACTGCATGAGAGGATGTCAGAGGCAAAATTGGTATCAATCATGGCAACGGCCCCATGACTGCCAGTCTCTTCCTCAAATTTGATGGCAGCTTTTTGCCTGGATTTAGTTACCTGAGTCGAGTGAGTCCATGTCATTCACCTAGTGTAATGTAACACTCACATTTTGATGATGAGAGCGATGATGTCCATGATCCTTGTGTTCTTTCACCTTCTCAAGTTTATGCATGCTACTTCATTCATCGCACTGCTCATGGATATTCCTCCAGTAGCCTTTCACGCACTTGGTGATAATGGGCCTGGTAAAAGCTTGGTCCGGTATCTCACCTTGGCCAGATGAATTAGCACGAATTGTCTATCAACAGTCCTGGTGAGTCAATTTAATATTATTTTCTATATATGATCATACCATTTCATCATTCCAAACACAATCCACAACAGCTTGAATGAATGGTGCATTGACCTTCAAATCAATTTTGCCTAACCAATTCAGGTACCATACTTTGGGGCCATCCTCCTTTTGCTCACATGGTTCTCTGTTCTCCAAGGGCTCGACCATTAACAACTCATCAACTCACATTGCTTTGTTGAGTGACACTTCTACGCTGCACAACTGGAAGAAAATCGGGTGAATGATTGTCTTTCCATCATTTGTCAGTTTTCATTAATACCCAAACTCTAGTGTCTAACTAACCTTCAAGACAGGATGCATGTTTGAGATATTCTTGCCCATCGTGTCCAGAGATTTCCCTTTATTCATCTGCTCCATCTCCGCCATCTTCTCAACTACATCAAGACGCTCGAGAACTTTTTTAAGGCAATCATTAACAATCATGTTTTGGCCAGTTGGCTGATTTGAATTTTCCATCAGGTATTGCATCTGGGATACGATCTGCACCATGAAGCTCGTGGATTGTTCATGTGGTGAGCCTTGGTTCATGCCATATGAACTTCCAGCAATATTAATGTTATTCCAAGGAGCTGTTAGACCTCTTGAATTAGGATGGGGTGTGAGTGAGGGTGATTCACCATATGGAAATAGGTGAGTCCTGTAGTTATATGGTGTCCCTTGAGCTGATATACCTTGGTATGGCATCCCTTGGCCAGATGATGATGACACAGAACCTGGAGGTCCGTGTACCTGACGCCCAAACAAATACAGATTATCGTTGTTCTTTGTCTCAGTGAGTACCAGCTTTGTCTAGTAGGGCATTCAAACAGACTTACCATGCCTTGTGGTTTACAATTTGTGCTCTGTTGTCCCATACTAAAGAACGGATCCATCCATGGCAGTCTGCTACTGTAATTTTCGAGGGGGGACAGCTGGGGCTGGAGAGGTGGTAGTGGTGTCGCATATGGTTCGTTTCACTGGTGCTGGTGCTGTTGCCTTTGACTTTCTTGGGCTAACGGGTTATTAGGATCAGGTAACCCAGCCCCACTGGGGCGTCTTTGTGCACTCTGGGGCAAGCCATACATCGCTGTAGGAGGGGAGGGGAATGGTTAGAAGAGCGGGAAGGATGATCCCATTTTTCTGGGATGTATGGCAGATCCATAGAAGCATGTAATCATACTCTAAATAGAGGGGATTTCACTATTTTAGACATTCTAACCAGACGTGGTACAATCACTAATCATACACAAACCCGAATGGGGAATAAGACCTCCATAGCCTAAGAAGAGTCTGTACTATGTTCAAATCTGTACTCTGGTTTGGGTATGCAAACTCGTGCTTTGTGTACTTTGACGAGTACATTTTGATTATATATCTGTACTACACTTTCTGTCTATATATGGGCCCTAACCCTACCCTTTCCACATGCAGTTTATTTCCTCATTTCCCCAGTGAATCTTCAGCAACAACATGCTGTTACATGCATATGATGATTGTGGTGGCCACAAATACAGCAAACAACTACCCTGCCAGGTAAATTTGAGAGAGGTCAAACTAACATTGGAAACTGCATATCAAGATACATCAGACAGTCGCATCCCCTTCATCTGCATCCCTTTCGACCAGCTCAGTGGCAAGTGGAGATCATGGATACCGGGGAGGACAACGCTCCAAAAAGGAGTTCAAGAAGCAAAAAAATTGTAAGAACCAGCCCAAGAGTAGTCTGAATTGAGTTTCATGATCCACGAAGGACATGCGAGCCACGAAGTGAACTCAAGGACAAACTGGCCCACTGCATAATATCCCTCATATGCAAGGAGAGATACAACACAGTAGTGTGTAATTATCTCCAGCCATAAGTGGCTCACAAAGCTCAGCATATACGCTGGAAGCAGGTGAGCAAAGGATGCTTGCTGAAAGAGGTAGGGATACCTCCACTGGCAGCGGTCTGCATGTGCACCAGGACTCAGGAGCAGATCCTGGAGTGGACAAAAGAACATCATCTAGTGAATTAGATGGGAGGAGTAAGCTGCAGCAAGGGCCCATGTAGTAAGTGTCCCGAGACCTCTCAATAATGGACCCTGAGTGCCTTCTTGACAGGCACATGCGCGATAGGACTGCTAAACGATAGATACAAGCTTGCCCGATCCCCGCAACACTTTCAAAGCTTTCATTTTTGCCCTCTTCTGCTGTAACAGGATCTTGGGGATATAAAAATGAAGCTGCTTTTCTGGTATGTTGTGTGGGTGATTACAGCTGGGCTCCACTAGGGCCAATCAAAGGGGATTTGAATGCTCAGACCTTAGCCCACTCAGAAATGTGGATGCGTGAAACAACCTGTATGAGATGAGCATTCATGGCCTTCGAGCTGGTTGAGGAAAGGAGAGTTTTGGAGTCCGCCTGGGTTATAACGAACTACATTAAAACTCAGCGCTTCACAGAGCATGTTTCTGCCAGTGCTTGGATTACAGAAAAGAACATACGGCTGACATGGACGTACTATAACCAAAGACCATGATGGTCAGCCTGTTTGTTCTGGCGTCTACACTAAGCATAGCAAACTAGACTGCAGTTCTAGCATTAGGTAGTATAAGCAATGTCTCTCGGTCGCTGTCGGAAGACTGTAACATGCTGACTGCAGGTGGTGGGCATATCAGCACGTATTCACAGCGACAGCGAGCAGCACAATGCTTTGCAAATTGCAATACAGAGTTTAAACTCCACTTTGGCTCAGATCAGCCGCACTTGCCAACGGACCCCTGCAGAGGCCCCCAGAAGCTGGTCCAGAGTCTCGCCCCAGAAACTGGCCCCACAAATCTGGAACGGCGGCATCAGATATCAATATTCAACTGCGCGACTCTGACTGAACATGATTCAGATAGACCCACCTTTAAGCATGTTGACAGTTGTCCACAAGTTCCTATGCAAACACTTGCTCATTCCTCATAACTCACCAGCCTACAAGTCCTTCAGGCTGATCATTGAAGCAGAAGTTTGTAAATATTAACTCTTTAGCAAACATTCAACATTCAACAGTGATCATTGTGCTGTGATGTGATTAGTCAACAATTTGCCAGAAAAAATCCCCAAGATGAGATGAGACGAGAAGTAAGTTGCCGTCTACTACTGTTGTCACTGATACTAACGAGGGTATGCAATCTTCCATCTTACTGTCCTAGGTGTGTGAGGCTCGGTGATAGGTTGATACTTGATGAATGAAATGGAAGGCTTTGCAGTTCCTCAGAGACAGACACTCTGGTGCCTCCCAAGCCTTCCCATCGCCATCAATCTCTTATCTATACAGCACTCATTGCCCTGCTGACCTCTGCAATTGTGCTCACCATATTTGCATCAGTGGTATTTCTCAACCCTTGCAACAACCCCTTAGATCCGGATGTTCGAGACCGCATTCGCAAGGAATGGGACATAGAACTTCGCTACCACCGTGAAATGGAGGAGAAGTGGAAGCGCAAAGAAGAAGAACACTTTAGTATGAATATGTTTTGGACCAACTTGAAGTCCCAGACGTGCACAGCATATGGCACTCGAGAGTATACTGCCTGATTGGTGAACGTTCCATCTCACTACAATCGCCGTGTGGACGCTTGCATGGCCACACCAATAGAGATCCACGGGGTTAATTACACAACCAAGTGGTGCAAGGATCATGTAAATATTCCTGCATTTCTTAGCACGAGTAGCTGATATCCTGCACTCAGGGTCCAAACAATGTAATAGGTCATTGGGAAGTCGACCTGCAGCAACCAGATTGCGCATCATACTGGTATTGGTACAAAGATCTCGTTTGTTTATCCATCAACTCCTCATCTGCATATTTTCAACTTACTCATTGTCACAGGGCTGCATTTCTCCTGGATCCGGTCAGCAAGTGAGTTTCTCAGACACAATACAGTGAGCAAGGTTGATGATATGCAGCTTGTCCAACACCGCCTTCAGAACCTCCCATCAGGAAGTGATTGGAGGGAGTTCTGTGCTACCACTCCTGCAAGCTTCCATGGTATTCATTTCCTGGGGGCACAATTCTGCTTTAAAAGGGTTCGCTGCTAGCTCAGTTTGATCAGTTGTTGCACAATTTGTTGATTACTTCCAGGTCTTTCAAGTCGTATATGGCCAGTGGGTCCTTGATGACGCGAGGTGCAACTAGCCTAGTAACCATGATGGTTTGATGTTAGGCAATGGTGATATTTTCTTGGGAATTTTGGATTTGCTGTGCCACTCAATGTACTTATACTTGGATGTCTTCATCCTTTGAATGACCGCCTTTGACTTGGGATTTGGGAAAGCTTGACAAATGTCTTTTAGGGGAGAAGATTTCAACTTTGAGTCACTAGAACTGATTTTCTTGCTCTTTCGGGAACATACACTTTGAGAGAGCCGACACTAATAAGGTAGATGCAAAAACAACGAACCCCACGTGATCAGTGTAATGAGATCGTGACTACCCCTGTCTCCCTGTATGCCTTAGGCACTCTTGCGGGGAGCTGCCATGAGCTGCACAAGGTCTCACTCTATGTGGATGCGGGGCTCAGTGCGCTCGCAGCAACGCTTCCGAACAATAGCAACTATGATCGAGCGGGTCCGCAACCCAACTTGCACCTGACCAAACTCGACATCGGGGAGTCGCACATCGTGTGCGTGGGTCCCTTGGACCCACCGACTGCGCTAGACTTGATGATGTCGATCCCACAGTTCCTGCACGCAATAGTGCCACGCCTTGCGATGATCGTGGCGAGGCAGGAAGAAGACATGCTATTGACTGACCATGAGAGGTGGAAGATGGTGTCGGACACTGTTGGTGATGGCAAAAGGTAGTTTAAATGGAGGTTTGGGCAGTGAACTTGCAGTGTTAGGGTGATGTGTGCATGCGGGATATTGCGGGGTGGGTTTAGGAACATGTATATTCATGTCTGTTGCAGAATGTGTTCCGTCTTCTTCTGGGTCAGAAATAGTCTGCAATTTTTTGGCAGGGTTTGTAGCGGCTGTCAACACTTCAGTGCCAGCGGATGATTGGCAGATTTCGTGTTTTCCCACTTCTTACAGCAGTTTGCGAATCTAATGGCACTCGCACAAATGTGAGAAAGTATTGATACATTTGTGGGACTTGGAATTTTTTTACCGTTCTAAGTTACATAATGTCGCGTCGCGTCCCAATATTGATTTTATATCTGTACTGTGCCATACCGTGTTCCTCATAAATCATACAATGGCGAAGGCATTCAAAAGTGCTGAATTTGTCGACGACACTGATTCAGATATCATGGAGCTGACATCCTCAAGCCTGAGCTCCAAATTAGATTCAGATGAGAGCTCAGGTTCTACAGCCATCGTGGAGCGAGCACTGCGGGCATGAGACAGTATCGACTGTGAGCTAGATGCTATGGACCAACCACCACCAAAGGCTTCTGTACCAGCCAGGACTATACCCCCAACTCAGCAGCAGCGGAAAAAAGGACAAATGAATGCATATATCCAGGTTTCTTCTGGAAAAT